ACTCAAATTCTTAAACAATTTGTATCAATTTTCTTTACGTAATTATGACGTTTTATCTAAATAAAAATGTTTATTAGTAATTACTTACAACAGCTATATAGCAGTGCCTCTGATAGTGCGGGTAATTGGTTGAAACCGGACTAAATAAACCGTATAAAAAATGTTTTAAAATTTTCAAAACGAAATATATTGAATCCGGATTGATATAAAACGCACAGTATGAGGTATTACTGTATTCTGTTGTAATTTTATTCATAATTATCAAAATTTGTTTATACTTTCAAAAATAAAATTACTTAAATAATTACAGGTAATAAATACACGAATCGTAGGCCTTTGCGTATTGTTTAATTCAGTTTGTAATGTAAATCGATCGAGTTTTATTAATATTATATATTTTAATTGTTTTTCAGTCGAACGAAACAGGAATTTCGGATTTAATTAAATTAAAGTAATACGCAGTTCGTTACATTCTGAACATCCAACGACGCTGCACAAAATTTATATTATTCATTTAAGCCTCTTCCGTCGACCACAAAATTTCACGGGAGTGTCCACCGCATCCACACTAATTACATTTACTTAATGAACCATCCTCTACTGCATATTCCATTTAATAAATGAAAGAATGTAAACTCCATGCACCGCGAAATGAATATAAAAAAATAAATAAATTTTAAAAAAGAATACGGTTTACACGTGGTGCATAATTCTTTGTCGGGTTTTATGGTCACTTTCGCCCAGCGTTCAATTACAATCCTCATAGTGCGATGCTCTGGTATTATGCAATTATTTAATGCAAACGTGCGTTAATTAGCTTGGCATTCCGTGTGGAATCAATCGGAGCGTTAAATTGTAAAGGGATTTGTTTGTTTCAATCGAGCCGTATTGCTCCAATTTTATTTGTTTGCTAAGTGGATTGGGATTGGTTTAAGAGGGTGTTGTTGCAGATGGTCAAATTAATGCTCGTTCCAGTAGATTGCACATACCTACAATTTGGGATTACTTTGTTCCTGAGCTGAGGAGGAGAAGGAGGTGGGCTTTTCACACCCCGCCAAGAAAAACTACTTAATGATCGATATCGATACCAAATCCAAATCAAATATAACTATTGTTCAAGTGTTTATTTCTTGCGTAATCAAAAAAATTGTAACATATTTTCATTTAGTTAAAATCGTTGCAATTAACTGAATGATAAGTGGTTAAACATTAATTATATCTTATAGATATTAGTTTATTTGAACATATTAATATTTTTGGTAAACTTTAGTTTTGTGTTGTTTAAACTTCTAATTAGTCTGAAGAGGTGTTAGATGGTTTTCGAGCGGTTGTGGTCGTTGGAGAATTGTTGGGGTTTCTGCTCTTCCAGAAAAATGTTACATGCTATAGCTATATCATCCGCTCTTCTGCATTATGTTATTTCATCTCGCGCAACTCTTGCGCACAGTATATAGGATTGGATTCGGGCGCTCTCGAATTTTCGGTTTTAATTTTCTTTGAAATTTCCGCTTTGTCGATGATGATCTGAATCGAGGGATTGATGGGTTTGCGGATTGTCTTTTACCTTGCTCAAAATCCACAGTCTATGTCATAAAAGATGACGCACTCAACACATCCGGTCATACCGCACTATATCACTGAAATCTGGCGGTCTGATAACGGCGTCGCGACGCTGCTCTGCATTCTGGTCGGGCTCGAGCCATCTACTGCAGCAGCAGCAGCAGCAGCAGCAGGGTCGCCGCCGGGACGCCAGAACGGCGCGCTCCTTGCGGCACCTCCTGTAACTTTTACACATTCAGCAGGATACGGTCAGGGGGGAAATTTTTCAAACTTATCTCATATTCCATAAACACATATACATTTTCCTCGACGCAGAAGATAATTGATTTAGTACAAGAAACAAGCAAGCAGACATAGCGTGAATATGTATAATCCTTTAATTCAGTTATTTAAACCCAAGATTATAACTTCAATCATTTGAATTTTAGAATAATAAAAAGATATTTAATAACTGTACACTAATTATGTAAAATAGAGTATTTATAAATAAAGTCAGTTTAATTTTGTTATCAATTTCAAAAGACGTACGTTAATGAAGGAAAAGTTCGAATAAACCTCATAGAAGAACCAACAACGCCTAGGATTTATTCTATATACAATATTCTTCAACTCCAATATTCCCCTTTTTTGATATTCGTCCTTAATTTTTTGTTTGATATTCGTCCGAAATGGGATATTCGTCCCACCACTTACTTAACCGGCAGTCAACTGATAGTTTGTTGACCGGCTCAGTCTCGAGCACTGTGTTAATTGTTATAGGAAAAATTGTTTGATATTCGTCCTTTTTAAACCATTATTTGACAACATTTATGAGTAAATCGTTTATTGGGTTATTAAATTTAAATTTAATTATTTATTAACTATTATTAAATTAATTAAGTTTTTTTTAATTAGATTTTTTAAACAAAACTTTACTTAAAAAAAAAGAAATTTTAATAATTCAAGAGATATTTTAGAATTAGGTGATAATTAAATAAAATAATAAATCTTAATAATTCTTTGAATTTTATAAAATAATAACAATAATCTTTATTGCAACAAAATTAAGAGAAAACTAAATATTTTTTCAAACAATAATACTAATAATATTATATATGAATTTTTGCCCTTTTAATTTAATTAAATATTGATTTTCTAATATTAAAATATGTCTATTTCTGCCAAAATGCGTAAAAAAAACATTATAGAATGTTTATTTAAGTTTTAATTTGTTTTACGTTTATTTTACCTAATATGTATGTAACAAATTGAAATAAAAAGATAATTTTATATTTTACAGATAGATGCAGGCAGAGGCATCATAAGAAATTTAGCGGCTTTACTACAAAGAATAATTCGCCCCTTTTCATAAGAAAATACATGAAAGCGCAAGCAAACTTACCGTCCCAAAAGGCGGACACCCCAAGGCTACAGCCCATTCAGTGCTGTGATTAGGGTGGCCCAGGATGCAAGAATACATAAAAATTAGTATATAATTGCACTTAAGTATCTTTTATTTTATAAAATTATTAACTAACAATAATGTGCAGAATATTGATTTTTTTTCAAATCATCTAAAAATATTTATTAAATAATTAACAAAAAAAAACAACAAATTTCAGTAATTGTACAATTATAAATCACAAGAAAAATTGATAATTTTTTGGTTAATTACCATCTTATATTTATATTAAAATATGTAGATATAAATTTGCAAAAAAAAAATATTAAATATATTATAAAATGTTATTATAAAACTTGCTTAGTTACTAAAAGATATATGATCCCAATTATATAATTCATTGAGCAACTTTAACATTCATATAATTGAATTATTCCAAATGAAACAACGACAGTCTTTCATATAATGAATATTGAATAGTTTTCAGAAATTCAGTTCAAAGCTTAATCTAAAGAATACATTCTTCTAAATAGAAATGAAATGACGAAAGTTATTCATGGAATACATTGTAATAATTTCCAAATTGTAACATCAAAAAAAAAATTGAATGCAATGTAACAAGCAGGTGTGCATAATTGCAACAAAGTGAAATTGAAACGATAGTAGAAATATATTTGCATGTGAGCGCATGCAACATGCAAATTATGCGTGCTATAGTATCTTAAAATGGATACTACTGGGCTCGTTGCGGTGATTCCGTTGCGCCAATCGTTATACTGATTTATAAATCCATCTAGATCGCCATCGGTTTGCATCAACGCGAAACGAACGTACCTATTGCTGTATATATAACAGTCACAATTAACTTTACGCGTGTTAAACATTTACTAAAATGCAAACTGTTCGGTCGACATCATTTGGTCTTTCTTGCGAATTGATTTTATTCAATGAGTTTACAAAATGTGCTAATATCGAAGAAAAATAGAACACATTTAGTCTACATACTAATTAATTAACAATAGTTTGTTAATAAGTAACAATTCATATATATACCTCGATTAACGAATATAATGCGAAATAACTTCGTTAAATGAAACTTCATTTCAACCCATCATCTTCTACATTCAATATTTTCCCTATATTCTCTTCATAGGCATTTTTTTTACCTATTGATTGACTTTCTTATTTTAGTACATCTCCTAGTCATACTCTGCGCCTAAGTACATGTAAGCATATCTTAGTAACTTTATTACAAGAAATGTTAATCTTCTGGTGTCGGCGTAATTTTTTTCCAAAAATATTGAACTGTCATTTCTTCCTTATCATTAACTTCAATTAAATCAAGGAAGTCACAATTACAAAGAAATTCAATACTCTTTTATTTCTGAACAAAATTGGTTACCATAAAAATGTTTATCAAGGAGTTAATAAACCCATTTTTCTATTTGTTTTTCATATTACAGGTAAATTATGTTTTTTATATAACTTCGATATTATAGTTATCTTTAACCAATCCAAAAAATATAACATTTATATACTTTATAAATATATTGTATGAAAATTGTAATGAAATTATAGTTATATGTTATTACTGTAATGTAAGTATTTCACAGACAGACTGCACCATCTGGGTCAACCGCAATCTTACAGTGTCCAAGCTCGAAGCGGTGGTAATAAGTTTTGAAGATGTCCTGTTCCTCTGCACCTGTTTCATCTTATATTTTACATTTATGTTTCTCCTCCAGTATGTCTTTATGCATGCAGACAAAGTGATACATTAATATCTATATTTTCTGAAAAAATGCACTTTCTCAACTATATAATAAATGCAGAAATATAATTAATAAATGTATTTATTTTTAAAATCATAAAAAAAAAATCATTTTTCAAATAATATTTAATAATTTATTTTGTTACCTTAATTTGCAGTTTTTTGCTTAACTTTTTCTTATATTTCAATGGGTATTTGAGCTTTAGTAAGGATTATTTATTAATTAAACCAATACCATTTGTAAATTATATAAATGATTATTATTAATATAAAATTTGAGAGAAATTTGAATTAATTAATGAAAAAGTAACAATATCGATTACAAATTGGTAATAATGATTACAAGTAAACGAACAATGCTAACACACTTAATAATAAAGCAAACATGGGTTGAGTGCTTGAAGCAAAGTTGTATACTAAATGAGCATCGAAGAAGTTGTCAATTGTATTATAGAGATGTGGAAGAACACTCTTCAAACTGTGGTTTTCATCTGGATAACTCTGAAATATCGAATACAAAATAATTGAATGTTCGTACAATTTCATTGATATTACCATTTGCTGGAACGGAATATTCTTGAGTTCCAATGCCTTCGCAAGTAACATAGAATGTTGATAATGGACATTATCATCAGCATTACCGTGCACCAAAAGGAATTCTGATCCGTTAATCTTTTCAGCGACAGCTGTTATATCAGTCAATTTGTAGGCATCTTCGTTGTCTTTCTTCTCTCCCATAAATCTTTCCGTGTAAATCGAATCTACATTTACAGATGAATTAACTTAAAGTCTAGATCAAATAATATCTTATTAGCTTACCGTAGTTTAAGAAATTGGTTACAGGCGCAACAGAAACACCGCACTTGAAAATTTTATGATCCTTGTCTTTAGCCAAAGCCCAAGCGGTAGCAAAACCTCCGTAACTCCATCCCCAAATGCACACATTCTCGGGATCAACGAAACTTAATTGAGACAGCAATTTCCTATATAAAATCAATATCGTTAGGTTACTAATATATTCGTATGATTGGTAATCGCACGTACTTGGTAGCTTCAATCTGATCTTCAATTTCCAAAGTTCCTAATTTCTTGTAAATCCTGAACTGGTTAGTGTTGCCTCTTCGACCACTACCGCTAGCATCGATCAGGACATATACGAACTTCTTGCGGTTAACCAAATGCTGTTCGAAACCGAAGGAGTACGCATCACTGATTTGGTTCGATCCTGGACCTCCATATCTAACAATAAACAAAATTATTTAGATTTAAGAATTCTCAATAGGCTTTTATTTAACGTACACATTAACGATCACTGGATACTTCACTGATTCGGAATCACCACCTGGAACGTATACCCTCGCAAATGCTTCATTTCCATTAGTTAATTTAATAGTTAAATCTTGCGTTTTGAATTTATCGGGTTTCGCGGATAATTTTTTCCTTAATTCTTTGTTTTCCTCCAAAGTAATAAGAGTAGACTAAAAATCCATTACAAAATTAATTTAAGATAAAAAATAATTATTCGTTAATAATACATCAGCTAATTTGGAAATGTAGATGCTAGCTGGTCCTGGTCCACGGCATGTAAGAACTGCGTAACTCATATCTTTATAAAAAGATGCGTCAGCATATTTACATTTTCCTTCCGGAACTTCCAAGTCACATGTTAAACAATTTGGTTCGGTTTCATCTTTGTAGTTGCGTGAATATACATGTTGTTCAGTGTATTTCTTTGGACGTGAACCTGAATAGTAACTGTAAACATATGAGATTTTAAAGTAACATCATTCTAATTGGGCTGAAACTAATAGTACTCAATGATATTGGATACAGATCATTTAGAAAGTACTTACACTAGATCTCCAGATACGCCGTGAATTCTTGTAACAGCTTGGTCTTTTGTCAGAACAACTGACTTTTTGTTGGCGGTGTAAACAAGACTTGAATAATCATTATCGTATTTAATCTGGAACATCTCTGTTCCTTTAAATAATGGCATGTGTGGTTCCAACCAACCATCTTCACTGGTATATGTATCCATCTGTAATGAATCGAATAAATGCAGAAGATCGTTAAAACTATTATGTTTCTATCATTACATCTGTACATTTAGTTGTCATTATATCACATTCCTTCAATGAGCCCTCATTTTGGATTCTGTTGGTAATATATGCGGTTACTATAGAATTGCTGAACCAGGTAACACCGAATAAAACAAATTCGTTTGAAGATTTTCCTTGTTCGATAATGCTCATCTCTTTACTATTTTTGTTCTGTACATCGTACACCATTAACTTAAAATTCGGGTTTTGAGTGGCTACCTGTAATAATTGATATAAACATAAAGAACCAAATCAACTACGAATTTTACCTTTGGATATTTGATGGTATTAACATTGGGATATTGATTGGTAAGATCGCCATAGGTGATGTAAGATAAATCCTTTACATTATTGTCAGTGAATTGGATGAAAGCCAAGAACATATCATTCGGTGAAAACCACACGGCAGAACCACTGGCGAGAACTTCTTCCTCGTAGACCCAATCTGCTACTCCGTTAAACGTGTCAGCGTTACCTTCCATTACCTGTACTACATCTTTGACATTTTTGGCTTCCTTGATGTAATATAAGGAATTTTCAGATACATATACCAACGCATTCATGGAATTTGACCATTTGCACAATTGCAAAGGTTTTCCTTCATTAATTTCTTGAACGTTTCTGCAAAAATATCATAATATAAAGTGTACCAAAAATTCTCTCAAAATTTAGTTTAATTAATTATTAACTTACTTTCCATCATAAACTGCGTATTTGGCGGTTTTCGAATGTCTGAAAACCTGAAATAATATATTGATCATTAATATTTACTTCAGTTTGTTGAAGCAATCATACTTACAGCATTTTCATCATGTCTAATCAAATACAAATCATTGAGAGGGGAAATAGTAACCACTGGATTTTTATATTTTTCCTGTAATTTAAAATTCAATAATATATAACATTGATGTTTGAAAATTCTTCATAATTACCAGAAATGATTTCTTTAGCGTTTCAGCAGTAACTTCCGTGGTAAAATCATAAGTTACGTAATCATCTTCGAGTTTGTAAAATAATTCGTGATCTAAAAAGAAAATGGTATGAATGAAGTATAAATATTCATATTACGCAATGCATCATTTACCTGATCGCCATGTCCCATTCCAACCGCTGGAAGCAAAGGTTCCTTTGAGGAAATCATCTAAATAATCGGCACGAGTGTACGCGCAAAGCGCAACGAGGAAAAAGGCGAATTTGATCATGTCGATCCTCATCCCAATATTCGACTGGAAAATATATGCTATACCATTTTGTTATATTTACTGCTTATTTTATCTTATCAGCTACATAATATACTACCCAAAAGCAACACACTTAATAAAAAAATAGTATACGCATATGGTTACGTTATTAACAACAAAAAATATATTAATTAACTAAAGCAATATGAGTGTATCTATTAAGATTATAGATTAGGAAGAATAATCTTGCTTTCATCGTTCGTAGTAATTTGGATGAGTCTGTTTCGATACAATCAAAGAGCGTCACCAAACATTCGCGATAAATATCTACAAAAATGTATACACATAACATTTAAAGTGGTTGCTTTCCTTTGAAATTAATCATTGTATAAATTTTATAATGTTTCAATGTTTTCAAAATTAATTCAATTTCAATAACATATTTTTTTATTCCCGTATATTTTGTGGCGCATACTTCTGAATTTGGTGATAAGATACTATGATGTCTGATGATTTTAAAAAAAGCGCTTAACGTAATATATCAGATCTTATTTTGTAATTTTAGTGTACTTACTCTTATAACACAAGTTGTTTGAAAATATAATTGAATGGTTATGAATTTACTATATGTTTATATCATGTTTACAAAATTATGTTCCAGATTGTTGGTCTCACAAATGCAGCAAAGTAAGATTAAATTCCCAGCTTACACTGCGAAATGTTATTGTGATTACATAATATGCAAATTTAGTAGTCTATGCTGATAAACCGCAGTGATCTATGCCGATAATTAAAGGATGATTGATGAATGTAAAAGTCGTATTTCCAAATATCAACATATGTGTAATTATTGCTTGAAAATGTTTGTCAATTATTAGAAGAAATATTATTATTCCACATATTGTAAATCTACAATGAAGTGAATGTTAAAAAAATACACATAATATGTGTAAACAAAAATGATGTAGCAGACGCGCAATCCGGGACTTCTCTTCTCATCGTCGTTATGCGAAACGTCGCTCGGTGAGCGAGTAATTTTACTTACAATTCGTTTTGCTCGTTAAGCGAGGTTTCACTGTATATTTTCTACAAATAGATTCTTAGGTTTAAAGGATATAGAAATAAGACTGAAAAAAATAATTTTGTTGTAATTTTACGTCAAACATTTATGTCAAATTGAGGAATTAATTTTAATTCAGGGATACAAAAGCAGATTAAATGAGATACGGAGTTTTTAGTAAATTAATTGTCATCAAAATATCTTATCTTCTCATCATAATAATATCAGTCGTATGTTTTCTATACAGATATATTTTTAGATTTTTCAATATACATTAATAAATATAAATAAAAAAGAGAAAGTATAAAAAATAAATAAGAATGATGGCACAAGTGGAAGTTATTGCTTTGTAATGTGAGTTAAACTGTGTTTGTACAATTCTGTAACTTTACAAAATTTCATATCGCATCGTCGGACAAAAGAATGAAAGATTAAATGTTGTTGTTTAAATCGACACGGCTTCCGAATATTTTATCACAATGGTCGCAATGGAACTTCATCTCTTGAATGTCTTTTCATGTGAGCCATCAAACAACTGGACTGCGTAAAAGCGTGATTACATATTCTGCAAACGTATGGCCTTTCTCCAGTGTGTGTTCTTCTATGTGCTTTTAATGTACTGGAACCGTTAAACCCTGAAATTAATCCATTTAAACATTTATTTCTCATGGAATCTTTTTTTTTTACGAAATTTGATAAGATAATATCAAAGGAGATGAGCAATTCGATCGTAATTGAAGTATGTAATTACAGATAAAGACGAAAAATAAAGAACATACCTTTATGACATATGTTACATATATGTGATTTTTCTCCGGTGTGCGTCCTCATATGTTTCGTAAGTTCATTGGATTGACAAAACGATTTCTGACACACGCAACATACGTACGGTCGTTCTCCTGTGTGCGTTCGAATATGAGCTATTAGATTGGAACTCGTGGAAAAAGCCCTTGAACAAAGGTTACAAGGATGCGGCTTTTCACCTAAAAAAAAATTATTCTCTATTAATTATAAAATTTTACATATTTAATATACAAGCAGTAATTCATGTTTTGTTAGTATTATTAATTATAATTATTTAATGTAATATTATTGTTATTTCTGGATTTTATCTAAAAATATCCATTTTATCAGTAAAAATATTTTATCTCTTATAGTATAAAAAAGTAAGCAACATTCATCAACATTATAGCAAACATGAAGCCTATACATCATAATAAGAAATTGACAAATTTGCTAACTAATGTAATAGTAAATATATAACAACCTGTGTGTGTTCTCATATGTTTTTCCAGATCTTGTGCTTGTCTACAACCTTTATTACAGACAGTACATGTGAAGGGTCTCTCATCTGTATGGATTCTCAAATGTATTTTGTAATTACCACTATAGGCAAATGCTTTATTGCAAACATTACATTTGTATGGCATTTCACTGGAATGAGTTTTAAGATGTCTTGTTAATTTGGCTCTAGTGGCATAGAATTTATAACAAATTTTACACTGTTTACTATTGTCACCTTTAGGGCTCGTTTCTTTACTAGGAAGTTTCCTCTCCTCTTTGTTATCTAGATTCTGTAATTCTATTCCTGTTTGACATACTTGTACATTTTGTGGTATTTCATCAATCTGCTGCGGCACTATTATTTGATTGTGTATAACACTTGTGTTCTGCATAGGTTGCAGCGGCATAGGATAACTGCTATTAAAAACTTGAACACTTTCTAGTGGATAATCACTGATTGTATGCACGTTTTGAGGCTGCAAATTGTAGCTAACTCCACTAACAGGGTTTTGCATTGGCTCAAAGCCAGTCTGATTATGAGTGATTTCCAGCATTTCTCCACAATCTATGAATACAATATCCTGCTGTGTTGGCTGAGCTATCTGCTGTACGACTTGAGCTTCAGAGTTCTCAACTACTTTCTTCTGGTATTGCCTCAAATGCCCATCAGACTTCTCGCATTGCTTTTTGAACTGAATAGATATGTGCAACTTTGCTAAGCATTTCTTACATATTTGTGCAGGAAGACCATCATTCTGCCATACCTATAATACAAATTTTAATAAACAATCAAAAGTATTTTTAAAACAATTAATATTATTTACTTGCACTGAAGCACAGGTCATCAGCTTTTTAAACACGTTTGCTTTGAAAATCGACATCATTTGTCCTTCTTTCACACACACCCTACATACTTTATTAAAATCAAGTTCCATTACAAATAAATAAGGGTTTATTATATAGAAATATCTTGAGCAACGAACACAAAACTAACCCATAAACAAAACTAATACATTAAAACCATAGGCAACTGTCGGTTAAGAACTGTTATTTAAGTTGCCTATATTGAAACAATCCTAAAATCTCTTCAGTTCTTTTAAGAGCAACAATAAAATTCAAAAAGTAACTAAATTTTTGAATTCAAAATAATATTTTGTATAAAATTTGATACAATTTGTAAAAGAAAACTTGGTTTTAAACTTTTCTTAATTAAATGAATAATCCAGAAATAATGATCTTAATTTGCTTCATTATGTTTTTTAAGAGAAAAATATAAAAATGTGTATCATGCAAATGAGGAACAAATAAATATTATTATATGTTATAATTAATATATTATTTGTATGAAACACTGATATTATTTACATATTGCATAAAGGTTAATAATTAATGATAAATGAATGGAATACAATTCTCTACAAACGTTTTATTATTGTTTGTCTGTACAAAATAGAAATGTGTGTTCGAATGAGATGAAATCAAAAGTATCTGCAAGAAAAGTAAAAAAGATGTCTATGAACTAAAAGAGAGTTGAACATAATGTCATGTATGAGTGATATAGGAGAGCTTGAATGTAGTAACATAAACTAAAAATGCATCAAACTAATGAATGGAGTTATATAATAGTTCGAACTCTGAAAGGAAATATATGGTTGAAATTATTTATTTAACATTTTCTCTATAATATGTACACAACATTCATACATAGTTTCGAAAAACAGTCAAAATGCAGGATAAAAATCGCCGTTAATTGTATAATACTTTCAAATGTAACATCAATTCCGTATCGCTTATTTGAATGAAACAATTTGATATTTATATTTATATATACATATGCACACAAATAAAAAGAATGAAAACAATTATAATATTTGTACGCAATTAAGAAAAGTAATAAACGATCGGACGCACACTGTAACAATAATAATAATAATCATAATTTCCATACACTTTCAATCGGATTATTTCCAAGTCGGAAATCCACTGTCAACAATCATTTGAAATATAAATATTAATTATGTATCTATCACAGAAAAGTAGATTTAACTATACATTAACAATAAAGTAGACATGTTAAAAGATTATGTTTATGTACAATTCCAATTCCTATAACGAAGCGATTTTTACCGTGCAATGTAGAACAGACGCATCCACCTTAAATTAGTTTAAACATTTGCTAAAGGTTTAGCGCTTGTTTAAAAATATTATTCAGTTTTGTTTTTATACAGCTGACGTTATTGCAATTCGTTACATCTTACTTATATACGTTGGTCTCTTGGGGACTTTAGGTAATTGCAATAGCGTCAAGAAAATTCTATGTATCCCTCAGAATATAAGTGTAAACACGTAGTTTTAAAGAAACCGATTTATACATTATCCGCGGGGACAATTGAATACGTTCCTCCCTGCGGAAATGGCGATAAGATTTATATTGTTTATTATACTTGATTCTTCTCTTCATTTACTTGAAGTCGCTAAGTAAAAAATAAAATAAAATCACTAAAGTTCAAGTGTCCGGTGATTTTTGAGCAATCAGTTTATGTATCCATTAATTCAATTTCAATTCGTTCCAATCTGTTCTCCTTCAACATTCCCCCGTAAATAAAATTATTGCAATGGATCACTTTAGTTCGCGTCACACACGCAGCTCTTCCATGGGGATGTTCTGTTTGCTGTTAAGCTGTGTGTTCTTTTTGGTTAAAGTACCGGTGTTGATCAATTGTATGCTGTGCGTGGACAGCAGCGGCTGATTCTCCGGCATGGGGTTGGACGTAAGGGTGTTAACATTGGCTTTACACAGTTTTGGCGGAGGCGGTGGACGCGGCAGTGTTGCGTTATTCTGTGGTATGTCGGCGAATTCCGGAGGCGGCAGCTGATGATGCGAATGGTGATGGCCCAGGATCGTCGCTGGATCACTCTTAACGCCTATGATGCTGGACTCTAGATCTCCGCAGATGTTGTTCGGCATCTGACCGTTTTCATTGCGCTTCTTTGCCTGTCCATGTCCGTTCTCGTTCATCCTAGTCTTGTCGCGTTGGTAATACACACCGGCGAAGATGAGAACGTTGAGGATCAACAGCGAACATCCTATTGCTATCGTCACGCTCAATGCCGTTGAATAGGCTGCGAAACCATCTTCGACGGGGTGGGTAGTTGTACTGGCTCCGCCGAGTTCTTCAACTCGCTCTGTAGAATCAATAGTCGGAGTTACAGCTGACGAATTTAGGGATATCTGCGTGGATTTCTGGTCCGGAGGTTCGATTGTTGTAAGTTTTCTGGGATTCAGCGACGGCAGCTTTGGCTGTGGTTCGTCGTCCGGAAGTTCGTGATGTGATCGCGGCACATCATCTCCGCCTGGTTTGTGTAGATCAGGAACTAAGTTTAACCAGAAGGACAGTCGATGTGCTCGGTAGTGATTCTTCAACTTTGGTTTTGTATCTAAAACAAAAATCACAAAATATTATTAATTCAATCGAAACATGAGAAACCTGTAATAACATTAACACAAACATTTTTTAATTTGATAATAAACCAATAAATCTGCAAATTCAAATATATTTCCTATAAATTATTTACTATAACCTTTCTCTTCGATTGAAATTTACAAGATGAAAAAAAAAAAACCGCCAGGTGTAGCATTTTGATTGCATTTGCAATTTAGAATATCCTTCGCGTATTCAATATCCTTAAGTGCTAGTTTTCTGATGGTTCGGGGCTTCGGGAAATCCATCGCACCATTTAAAACCCATTCGAAAACGTTACTTATATAAATTCGCTTGTCAGTTCGATTTCCTGTAGAGATTATTCCCTATAGCAAACGCAAGATACTACTTGAATAGAGACAACTTGAATAATTGATGCGTGGTTTCATGCAGACTGCACAACATATATGACAAAACCTATAATCATCCGTCAATTTTCATATTGATTTATGATGTACAGTTTATAAAGAAAATATTATAGTATAGAAGAAAAAAACAGTGTAGACTGTTTGTGTTTCAACTGTTATTATAGAAATCATTTAAAAGAAATTGTTATATGATACAAAGATAGTCTTACCTAAATTTAAATATTTCTTGTGGACGGCTTCTAAGCAGTCCATTCAATATTCTTGAAGCGATTCCTTTCTTGTCTAGCGCCGTGAGCAATATCGGCTTCCTGCGGTTCGTTAGGATTCCTTAAAGATGGATTTCATAATTAGTGGAATTTATGGAAACTGGGTCTGCGAGTACGTACCCAGTCCTAGCGAAATTACTCCAATAAATCATGGTGGTTTCTGCAAGTAACATCTCCGACTTCGTGTAGTTCCGCCCGAAGTGCGTGAGGCCCCCAACCAAGGGGGCCCCGAAGACGTACGGCAATTCCTCACCGTGTATACATCCTTGTCTCTGTAGAAATAGACAATAGTGAAGTTTGAATTGCACTCTTAATATAGTGATTACATAAGTTTTACCTAATCCTATTTAAAATTTATTAAAAGGCAAACACTCTTACAACTTGTATTCATATATTATTAGCTTCTGATTTAACATATTAAATTTGTAATTCACACTAACAATTTATTATATTAATTGAAGATCAATAATTATATATTATGTAACAAATAATGAATTATATTACTGTAATAATATTGACAATACTGTATCAAGTCAACCTCTTTTCAATTGGAATATGTCAACAGTAATAAAAACAAATATTTGTTGGTACTCATTCATTATTTAACGGAAGTCTCGTTAAAAAATATACTTTTTCATAATTAAAGAGAGAAATCGATAACTGAGGCATTGCGAACTTGAAGCTGTAATTAAAAGTAAATAGAAAGTGTGGCTTTCGAATGGACGTAATTGAACCGGTAAATAAAGTTCAGGATTTTAAAATTCAGGTACACTGTAATACCAGTGACTCCGTGGCTCGTTTACTAGGTATGCGGACTTTCCTGGCATTAAATATAGATACGCATGGATAACCTTGTTTTCCACGACTCTGCAGAGCAATTTGTAAACATATTTGTTTTGTGCGCAGTGTATTGCTGTTTTATAGCATCTTTTTTTTTTTCTAAAATATATGTTTTTTTTATTGCAAGAAATCGTTAAATTTACTGCTGCATTCACACAGTTTTGTCAGTGAATCAGATCCATACGGGGTTTGTTTGGGGACCACTAGACTTTTGGGTCCCACGGGACATCTTGGGGCCTACGAAAATTAGTTGAATTACAATTCAAGAATGTACATTAATTCTAAAGTTAATTTGCTGACATTCGAGATCCCGTTGTCATCTAATTAACTTGTACCTAGGGCCCACGACAACCCTTATGCATTATCAAATACATTATTATATTAAAAAAACTTGTAGTCTCTTATCTTAGAGGAAAACTAGAACTATACACTTTATAGAAGATGAATTCAGTTGACCACAATTAAATTATCTTTCTGATACAATAATTTTACTAGATTGGAAAATGTATCTTCTTTTTAGTAGACATTGTATTGACTTTCAAAACTATTGGATAAATAGATTATATTATTTAATTATCCTGCATATTTTTCTAGTTTTCATGTCGGTATGATTATCAATTCGATCATGAAAAATATTTAGAAGAAACTTTAAAATCTTAAAATATTCCAACTTTTATCACATCAATTAATGACAATATCAACATGTGTATGTAAAACATAAGAAGTAATAAATAATTACAGTTATTTTTGCAATCATAACGAATTTGGAATTATTTTAGTTTGTAATAATTCTAGTTGGTAGTTGATAATTATATAATAACAATAACTTTGCAATGATTTTTTTTGTATATAATCCAATTGGAATAACTATATATTTAATTACAGTTGTTTGTTACTCGTGATTCAATGATAACTAAGCAACAGCATGTTCAATTACTTTAGAAACTAATTCCGTGCGAACAAGTAGTGTAATCAGGTGGCGGTGACACCTTTAATTAGTCTATAGTCATTGGAGTAGACATAGACCGTGGATTTGGTCGTTATTAAATTAGCCATTGGTGTATTAACGGCGGCACCAGAACTTTAAGTTGATTAATTGGCACGAGAACGTATCCCCTAATTAGGGTTAAGACCATGTGAAATCAAATTTCCATGGGCGAGATAAATATGGAATACCTAGAGGCGCATAAAGACTTTCCGTCCCGACTTTCCATTTATATTAACAAGTTTGGAGGGGGCGCAAAACTCAAACGGTTCCCGTGATATATTAATATTGGAAATTTAGTGTGCGGCGCGAAATTGCATTACCCAACCACCCACACATACATTACATGCACATACGTGCAGAAATTTATGCATTCCACCAAAAAGTTTTATCTCTTTATTGTGTGTATATATACTTAGCCATACACATACATACACACCAGTACTACTACCTTTCGCATATAACGTGTCACGAAGAATTATCTTTGGGTAACTTTAGTGAAACTTCTCCGGAAAGCAAACTGTATAGTTTGTTACTTGGGTCTTACCCTATCTGCTGTATTTTGCGTCCGCATCTTCTTTCACTTGCTTTTGTTTCTACAGGCTTTATTTATTTATGTTTTTTTTGTAAAAGAACTGATGTGCACCAATAAAGCTCAGGATATTCTAGACAGGTTGCAAAAGGAAGCTGCTCTTCTCTTAGATATCTTTCAGTTGCATTTTTTACGGGACTCCACTCTACATCGATTTCCGTCTGTCGCCGTGTCCCAATACACTTTTTATCTTATTTAATTCTCTTCCTTCATGCTTCAAATACCTCAAAGTTTTCATGTCGATAGCGAAACAACGCTCCGACTTGGCTTTGATCAAAAAAAGATTCAAATTAGCATTCTTCAACCTATTTTACACCTCCAACTATATGTAAAATATTTCGTGAAACAGTTGTCGATTAACATATAAATTTTAACTAATAAATAAGAAAAAATAAATAATTTAATGTTATAAATTTAAGAAAAATTTGACGTGGAAAGAAAATCTGCAAACCGGCAAAAATACGTAGAAGAACACTGATTTTCATATGCTTTAAGATATTATTCAATGTCTCAATCTAAAAGACGTTATATAATTAATGAACGTACAAATTACACTTAAGAAAATATTGTATCTGCGAGAATATATTTGTCTTTCTTTAAATATAAATTATCTACAATTTAATTATATAATATATAAATAAACGTAATGTGGGCGCATGCCACTAAATGAATAAGTTCATGAATTTAGTATACTTCATTTATATAAATAAAAAAGTTTCAATTGTTGTTCAGGTTGTGTACATTACCAGCGGTAAACCTGTTACCTCAAGTTATACACAGCATTGTTGTATGTTGAATAGTGCGTTAAACTTGAGACGTGGTTACAAACTTATATCGTCACGCTTTTGGGTAGTTAGTTGTTTAGAAATGTGTTTGATTACAGTGTTCCAATTACGAAATTTACTACATGGTTTCTATGAATTTCATCACTTATTGATCATCATTATTATACACAACATAAGTACATTATATAATTGAAATCAAACATCTTTGGAATCAAAATAAATATATTTATATGTATTCAAAATAATTAATATTTGTTCATAGCTTTGATATTCAAACTAATGAACTTGTATTTCCTTTTACTAGGAGGAATCGCATCTAATCTGATTTTTCACTACTATATATTATGCAGCCTCTTATTATACTCTTCAATATTTTCTTGATTTTTTACACTCTATTACGTAATTATATTATAGGACAAGCTACTCTTAATAATGTTATTCGTTGCATTCTTACAATTTTCGTGTTTTCTTTTAATTAAATCTGATTTATTGTCGAATGAATGTTAAAAATAAATTTAAATTTCATTGTGTTTCATTTATATTTAATGATATAAGTTTTTAAAATTAGTAAAATAAATGATTAAAATATATATTTTATGTATGAAATAAAATATTCTGTATTTCATAAAATACATTATTTAATAATGTTATGTTATATAAATGCATACATAAAATTGTTTCATTTATAAATATGTAGTTTTAAGATTATTTTAGAAGCGTTATTCTGTGGAGAAGAGAAGATTTCGTATGTAAGTAGAAAATGCTATGTTTGAGGTGAAATGACAGAATGAAACAAGGATGTGTAATTTGAGAATGGTAAAGGAAGATGTGGAGTCGAAATGCTCGGGAGAGCGAGAATGAAATATACGGTATGAATAATTTAAGCCTGGCCCAGGAAATGGAG